ATTTTTTTTGAATTATTAGAATTTTTTTTTTGAATGGTTCGTTTTTTTTTTAAGTTTCGTATTTATTTAACTTTTCGTATTTTTTTAATGTTTCGGATTTGGAATTTTTTAGTTTTCTTTGAATTTTTCAGATTTCTTTGAATCCTTCGGATTTCTTTGAATTTTTCAGATTTCTTTGAATTTTTCGGATTTCTTTGAATTTTTCGGATTTCTTTGAATTTTTCGGATTTCTTTAAATGTTTCTGATTTCTTTGAATTTTTCGGATTGCTTTGAATTTTTGTGATTTCTTTGAATTTTTCGGATTTCTTTAAATTTTTCGGATTTCTTTGAATTTTTCGGATTGCTTTGAATTTTTGTGATTTCTTTGAATTTTTCGGATTTCTTTGAATTTTTCGGATTTCCTTGAATTTTTCGGATTTCTTTGAATTTTTCGAACTTCTTTGAATTTTTCGAATTTCTTTGAATTTTTCGGATTTCTTTGAATTTTTCGGATTTCTTTGATCTCTCGGATTTCTTTAAATTTTTCGGATTTCTTTGAATTTTTCGGTTATATTTAAATGTATCGAATTTTTTGAAATTACTCGGATTTTTTGAGTCTTCGAATTTTTTTGAATCTTCCAGATTTTGTTTAATTTTTCGGATTTTTTGGAACTTTTCTACTTTCCAACTTTTTTTTTAACTTTTCTATTCTTATTTTTTTCGAGACTTCCGAATTTTTATTGTTTTGAATTTTTCCAGGAATTTTTTTGTAACTCTTCCCCATTTGTTTTTTGAACTTTTCAATTTTGTAATGAGTTGGGGATCTTAATGTACAAAAAGGAGATAAAAAATAAAGGGGTTTCGCTCAAAAAAAATAAAAATAAATAAATACAAAATTGTTTACTCTGTGTTTTTGCCTGTTTAATATATTATGCATACTCGTTTATAAATTATATGAGGTCAGCTACATGCCAGCAAGGGACGCTCACGTGCGCGCTTTCGAAGCAAAAAAAAAAATCAAAGTCATGTGATTGATAACACAGGTCTGCAAAAAAATGGGTTCGGAATGTTCTATAAAAGTGTAGTGTCTTTTCCGAAGTAATTTTTTGCGTAGAATCCGAATCCGGGGTTTAAATTGCTCTATCACGTCAGGACTTTGAGATATCCTAACCTAAAAGTGCAAAAAACGCTGTTTTTGCCCATTTTTGAGGTTATGTAGCTACGAAGATTTTGCTCTTCATAAAAAAGTAGACATGGTATTTTAAAGTATAAGTCTTCCTCTTTTAAATGCCGTTGAGTTTGCTCAAATATCTTAATTTTTCACTGAGATATCGCATTTTGAAGTCTCCATGTTTGTGAATGTAATCGACCGTATCACGTCTCATGTTATCTCAATGGATTTTCGAATATCGAAAAATTCACAAACATGGAAACTTCAAAATGCGATATCTCAGTGAAGAATAAAGATATTTAAGCAAACTCAACGGCATTTAAAAGAGGAAGACTTATACTTTAAAAAACCACGTTTACTTTTTTATGAAGAGCAAAATCTGCGTAGCTACATAACCTCAAAAATGGGCAAAAACAGAGTTTTTTGCACTTTTAGGTTAGGATATCTCAAAGTCCTGACGTGATAGAGCAATTTAAACCCCGGATTCGGATTCTACGCAAAAAATTACTTCGAAAATGATCCTACACTTTCCTAGAACAAAACGTTGTTGACCTGTGTAATGAATTACTCATGGATAGACGCATACGCTTCCACACTTCGCTCATTTTCATTTAATTTTTTTTCACCACAACAGCAAACGCTTACTCTACAGGAAAACCTCTGTTGGCCAAAAAATATGACGTTCACGCTTATGAAAGTGCGGCGAAAAAAAATTAAAAATCGCGCGCTGCTCAACGTTGCCAAGCATGCATGCATATATGTATACGATATGTAAATATGTGAGGGGGGATGGAGGGTATGGGGTAAACATGTCCTTGGTAGCAAATTTTCGATTGTAAACGTTGGCTGGCGCCACTGTCTCCATATTGTCTGCGAAAACAGATCTGCCACAACCATCATCGACGACGGGCCTTTACAGTGGCGAAAGTTCAGTCAGGGTGTGATATGTACGGTGCACACACGCCTGTGTTTATTGGTTGCTGACCTCGCTGTCATTTTATTGTAAATGACCTCAAACGGTAGTCGAGAGAGATTAACGATTAATAAGCTTAAGTTGGGCACTGTCGCCGTGCGGCCGGCGTGCGAGCTAGTGTTTAGTGGATTTTCGCTTGTGAATTGGATTAGTCCAATGGCGATGAATGGGCAACCCGAACGCGTATATAATTCTGTGCGGAGCGAACACTGAATCATCCACAACAGACTGACTGCACCGAGAACACTTTCGATTTGCTGCTCAAGTAATGCATTTCCAGTTTAAATATGGACGGTGGCGCAATTATCCAGTACAGCTTAATTTAGCTTACAATTTTCTAAAGAAATTTTAAAATGGATTTTATTCTGAAAATAGCGCTTGTCGCCCACACTTTTCTTTCATTGTATTTTTTCCTCTTTGAATTGAATGCGCACTAACCTCTTGCATACTTTATTTACATGCGCGTTTGCAGTAATTTCATGTATGTACATACAAGTTGGTAAATATTTGCTAGAAATATGCAAAATTCTAGGTGAAATTTCGTTTGAAACGTTAAAAATTGGTATGGGCGTTGTTTGTTGGTCACTCGCTCCATGGCTCAGTTGGTCGACCGGCACTTGTTTGGTACGCCTGCCGCCCTTTTATGTGGCAACCATCAACCACAGACAGACTTAGTGTAAATATTATTCTTCATACACACACCCGCCATAGGCACTTAAGTAACTGAAAAATGTGCAGAGAAAAAATATAGCCAACAGCGCCAGCTTAAATTTGTAGTAGGTGGCTTTAGTCAGCTCATCGGGGGTGTTGTGGATGGTATGCCTTACCTAACTGGGTTGTGGGTCGTCATTGCAACACGCAATGTTGCACTGTGGGTCATAGCAGTTAAAGATCAGTTCAAAGACTATTTTTAAAGAGAATACAAATTTAAAAGCTCTGTACATTCTTCAACGAGGTAAAATTTAAAATTTAGGGTGAACGAATTATTGGAAAAGCCTGAATTTCTGTATAGTTATGTGATGCATTTCCATAAAGCCATATTAGCTCAAAAAACATTACGAATATTTAAAAAAATCAACACGTGGTCAAATCGGAATTTTAATGCTCAACCCCCAGGATTTATTTTTATTTTGAAAAGGATTTGGAGGTCGCTCAAAGCGCTCGACGTTTTCCATGTATTTTATATGAAAAAAAAACGTAGAAATGGTATAGAATTCTTAAAAATCGATATTTTTCGATCGGAAAACTCAGTTTCTCTTCAGGAGACTTCCAATAATAGTACTCAATTGTTCATTTAACCATGTTTTAATATCAACTAGTTTTTATAGTAAAAAAAATAGTCGGACTTTACTGCCCCTCTCCCCCACAAGTGTTTGGACCACCCTAATGTAGCACCCTAATTTTTTTAATGATTTTATTTAGTTTATTTTTATGCAAGTATGCATGTAAATATGTAAATATGTTTATTTGTGTGTATGTAAATTTCGGTAAATAGCATACTTCTTGCATATATTTCTAAGTTCGCATAGTATGTATGTATTTTTTTTATGGTGAAATACATGTTTCGTACTTCAGAGTTTGCTAACCTCAAAAACTTATACATATGTATACCCATATACCTACAGTGACCCTAACAAGTGACCACAGGTTGATTTTTTTTTAATATTCATAATGTTTTTCAAGTTAATTTTTTTTATATTTTTCTACAAAAATATTGTCCAAGCTTTAACCAAAACCAATAAAGCTATGAGGTTGTTCACACTTGCCTGGTTATCAGGTTATCTGGTTAAAAATTATTATTGTGTACTTTATTTTATTGTTGTAAACTGAATAAAAAACATAACCACATAACCTGATAACAAGGCAAGCGTGAACAAACTTAATGTTTCAAACTTCATGCAAAATTTAGGAAAATTCAATAAAATTTCAAACTTTTTATTCTGAGTCTTGAGAATATATTTGCGTATGCGGTTTTAGAGTCCACACGATTTTAGTAAAATAAAATGCAAGATTCAACCGGCTAAAAAATCGCGTTGATTTTTAATTATTAGGTTTTTTTACGGATTTATATAGTTTTGGTTAAAGCTTGGACAATATTTTTATAGAAAAATAACAAAAAAAAATTTGACTTGAAAAACATTGTAAATATATTTAAAAGTGGTCACTTTTTTGAGTCAGTGTATATAGTATTTATTTATATGTACATTCATACATATGTGTATGTGGATTATTTTAAGTGTGTGTCTGTCCGTTGGTCACAAAAACTATCTAAATAAACATGAAATGTGTTACATTTGCAATTTTCTACTATTTTCACCCGACTCAGCGGTACTGCGCCACATGTGTACTCTCCGGCTCTCTGCTTTCCCACCAAATGTAATACATTAAATATTAAAGTTGTGGGCTGTCATTTGTTTTTCCTCTTCAGTTTTTTTTTTGTACATTTTCCCGGCATGTTTACGACAAACAAAGCATTCTAGGGCCTTCTGTGTGTGCTGTGGTGGTTGTTGTTTTATTACAGACACATTTCATGTATTTAGAACTTAATTTAGTTTACCAAAAAACTTTTCGTGGGTGTTGGGAAAAACGGAACCGAGGGAAGTGAAAGCGATGAGTTGTGATTGGCGTGGATTTGAGTTGTATCAGAGAGAAAGTGCGGAAAATGAAAACAAGTTGGCTTAAAGCGATGATAGCTATGTATCGAATTTATGTCCTTGCCTTTTATTTTAGCTCGAGCTTTTAAATATATTAAGAAATATGTATTAGAGGGTGGTGTGTATATAAAAGTCATTGACTTATTGTCCAAAAGAGCAGAACAATATAACAACAATTTGAAAAGTGATTGATTTTTTTGAATTATTGGATTTATGTCATAGGATGTTTTGGATTTATTTTTATTAATTTTTTGTGCTGTTTTTATTCATTTGACGATTTTAAACTCAAACGTCTATACATTCAATGAAATTACTAACTTTATCTTATTCTCTCTTTACAGCGGTGGGCGTATGTGGGGCATGTCCCACTCACTGCCATCTGGAATGGTACGTATACTTTTCAAATTAAATTTGTAGCCGAATTTTTTGTAGTATTTTTTATGTTTTTGTATTTTAGTTTCTAGCGATAGTACTTAAGTATAATTTAATAGTCTCTACCTGAAACTGTTGATTTTTTTTTTAGTTGTGAAATAACTAACTTTTATCTCTACGTTAGCTTACTTAAAATAACTAATAAACATAAAAGTATTAAATAAGTAAAAGAGACTTAAAATATTTCGGGGCACACGCTTTTTCATATAAAGTCTTCTACAAGTTTAAATAAAGAAAACCCCAATTTGCAAGAAACAATAAAACACGCATACAACAAAAAAATACATTTGACAAAATGAAAGGAAAAACAGAATAATTACTAAACAACAAGAAACAAAAACAAAAACAAGCCAGGCGTTGGCATACTCATGCAACAATAAATACCCACAACAACAACAATACAATTAGCAAACAATAATCACATTAGCAACAAGAACAATAACAACCACAAACAAATTGCAACAGTGATTCTGAACAATCATGCAATCACCACCAACAACAACAACAACGTCAACAACAAACAAAAATAAACAAAAAGACAAAGTGAAACAATTAAAACAAGAGGAAAACTGTAAAAGTAGGCACACTTGCCTACTTTCATACACATGAAAAAGTTGATTCACATTTAAGCTTAGTATCCAGCTTTCACGAAAAACAAAATTTTCATATAAAAAAGCACAAGAAATAAAAAAGAAATTTTCTTCTATCAAATTTTGTTAAATTAGGGCCAAAATCACGGCATCCATGATCAAAGGATATTACTCATTTCAAAGCGAATGAAATAAAATTACACTTGTTTCCTCTCCAATACAATTTATATTACAAAACCAGACTTCAAAGAAAAGTACGCAGATTTCAAGAAACTTCTTACACTTTGTAATAAGTTTTTTTTAAGTTATTATTTAAAGAATGAAAGTCTGTATTTCTTGAGACTTTTCTTGGGTGCTGGATACATGCTCTTTTACAATGGAGTTACACAATTGAATAATTATATATATAGTTCACTTCTTTGTATTTTTGTTATTTCGAAACTGGCATCAACTAGCGTGTGAAAATTAAATATCGACTATTTTCTATCATCGATTATTTTCTTTTATTATCGATTATTTTCTTTTATCATCGATTATTTTCTTTTATTATCGATTATTTTCTTTTGTTATCGATTATTTCCTTTATTATCGATTATTTTCTTTTATTATCGATTATATTCTTTTCTTATCGATTATTTTCTTTTATTATCGATTATTTTATTTTATTGTTGACTATTTTCTTTGTGTTTTTTTTTTTGTTATTTGTGGCCTTATAATTATTATATTGAACAATTGTATTAAGCTTGAGGCCGAAATAGCATCTTTAACTTCTACCATGTGCGAATTAAATAATAATCAATAAAATTCTTGAATATAGTTCACTATTTTCTCTAATTTGGATTTTTTTCGATTATTTTCTTTTATTATATTATTATTTCATTACGTTTGTTATCCATTATTTTCGTTTGCTGTAGATATTCTTTTGTTATCGATATGATATTTTCTTTTGTCCTCGATTTATTTCCGTTATCGATTATTTTATCTGTTGTCGATTACTTTATTTGGACATCGATTATTTTGTTCGATTATTTCTGTTGACGGCTAGTTTCTATATCATAGTCTGCTTACTTTCTACTCTTAAAATATTATTTACATATATCGATAACATTTTATTTTAGATAATTTTAAATCGTTTAAACCGTTTATAGTCTTCTAAGAAATTAAATCTGAAAATAACGGCATATGATCGAAAAAAATAGAATCAAAATAAAATAAAAAAATTTATCGAAAGAATAGAGATCCAATTTTAAGGGTTCAAATATGATTTTTCCCTGCTGTTTTTTCGTATTTTTCTCTTGATTTGTGGTCGATTATGATTTCATTGAGGAATATTTGTTCCTTTTTTCTCTTTGTTTTATAAAATATGCTATCGATAATTTGTATGGTGTTGATCATATTATTTTGTGGGTAATCATATTTCACACTAACGATTATTTTAAATTGTCCTTTTTCTAATTTGTATTTTTTCGATTATCAACTACTTTCCGATTAAGTAAACTTTAAATGCGTTTTTTAACTCACTACGAAAAAATCATCACATTTTGCCACTCATTTACCATTTCTTCTTTCATTTGTTATTTCTTCGCCCCCTCTTTAACCACCCCCTACTATCGAGTAAATCGGGTTCATTTAGTTCCATTTTTATTTCATTTATTTTTTGTTGCGGTAAAGCCTAATTGCGTGGAGCTGTTCCGCACGATTTTGACTTTGAAGCGAGTTGAACGACCTCGTGGTGGAGGTTAGAGATGGTAGTTTCCTATTAGCAGTCGCCTCAGCAAAACATGCCTAACGACTGAGAATTAAGTTGATTAGGATTTCGTGTCAAACTTAGACTTTTGCTAGCCGGCGCCAATTTTCATTATTTTTATTTATTTATTTTTATTTTTTTCATTACTCCCACAGTCTTGAGTGCGTTAGAATTTGACGCTTTAAAGGTATTTAATGTTTAGCAAAGCAGGTTGTGCCACACTTTTGTTTTACGTTTGTATATTAGGTAATCTTAGTGTGTGTCTAGATTTGTGACTGCCATCTTACATCAAGAAAATATTTATCAGACATGCAAAATGCACATTAGACTAATTGCTTGTAGAAGATTTGGTAGATAAAATATTATTTATTTTTTTTTTGTATATTAGAAGATTGAAAGTGGAAAGATTTTGGCTGGCAGGCTTGGATGAACGGAGCTTCGAAAGTGTTTTCTAGGTACATACGTAGAAATTTTTTGTGCTATGTCAGGCTAAGTAGGTGGTAATGAGGATAGCTTCAAATAGGAAGGAAAAGTGGAAGTTTATATTTTCGGTAGTAGGCGGAAGACATTTTATCTTAGGGCATAAAGGAAAGACGTACCTTCTCAAATCCAAATATTTTAATTCGAATTTCTAAATTAATATTTGGTATGCAGTTTTTTAGCTTATTAAAATCTAGTTTAAAAAAGTGACAGTTTGAAGTTGCTAAAAAATTGCGTTGATTACACCGTGCGACAAAAACAAAACAAAAAAAATATCGAAACACATGAAGCAATCAATATACTCACGATACTGTGGACCAAATATAGTAAAACTGCGTTTTTAGTTTGTCTCTCTGACGTCAGGATTTTTTTAAAAAGACTTTGCAGTTTCAAAGATATTATTAATTCCAAAAATTATTTAAAAAAAATCGTTCATATGTAGAAAAACAGTATGGGCACCAAATGAAAGAGAAAATTCTAGAATTAAAAAAATTACAATTTTTTGGTTCACAAGCACGAATAGGTATTGAAAATATCCTTTTAATTAGTTTTATTTTTTTAAGCGAATAAAGTTAGAAGGACCAAATTCGAGGATGTGGTCGAGTGCATATTAGTCCTTAATATATAATTTTTTCGAAAAGAATTATTGTAAAATTTCAAGGATATTCAATGATAAAATGTGAAAAGGACATTATGAATACCTAATCGTCCTTATGCACCAAAAAACTAATTCGGCCTTAATTCCCTTTAACTTGATAGTCATACTGTTTTTCTGCATTGCACTGAATTTTTTTAATAATTTTTTGAAGTAATTATATTTTTCAAATTTCAAATCCCTTCAAACAAAGTCCTGATGTGAGGGAGAAAAATCAAAAACGCGGTTTTACTATAATTAGCACATGGTTTCGCGAATATATAAAACTTTTTGTGTGTAAAATTTACTGTCGCACGGTGTTTTTGATAGTGTTTTGCACTTTTTTCCATATAAAAAGTACTTTGTATGGAAGGAAATGCGTAATACCGTCAACGAAAAAATTATAAAAATTCTTGAAATTAAAATTAAATCTAGTAGTAAAAAAAAATGGAATTGGAAAGAAAAGTTTGTGGAATTTTTATAATTTTTGCACAAGGCCCGAAATCTGGATTCATATGGTATTTGTTAGATAAAAGGCTATACTTGTATATAAAAATAGTGAACATCAAACAAACAAAAGATAAATAGTCAAAACTGTTCAAAATCGTTTTGTCGCAGGCTGTAGATGCCAGCTCATTCTTTTCTCAGCTTTGATTTTCGACGTAATATTGTCCGCACATAGCAAATTTTATTAACGCGATTACGGCCCTAAGAGCAAATTTGAACGCCTCCCTTCACTGTCAGTGCCCTCAAACCATACCCAGAGCTCCAAGTTGATGTCCTCTTTACACGCCTCTTTTCAATTTTCTTTCAGCTGAAGCAGCTACTATCAGTGTTGTGTTGAAGTAGTAGGGCGGGCTTCTTTCTTTCAACATTAAACAACTTTCGCTAACACTCCAATGGCATGCATACATTCATATATTGATAGTAAATTAACACATCTACATACATACATACTTAGTTGCCCCTTATAAGCACACTACCTGCTTATGTATTTCATTATGCGTGAGCGTTGCCACAAAGTGCAATATCAACTCATTGAAAACTTTTCCAAACAACGCAGTTTGTGTACGCCATGCCATGCTGTGCTGCACTTGAATACGCATTACACACACACACACACTCACTCATTTACACATGCAACAATGTAGGGAGAACAGCATCCAATCTGTACATTCTTCAGTTGCCATTTAATTCTTATATTCACTTTCACTCTTAAACATTTCGAGGCATACGTCTGCTGTGTGGGTCACTTGCTGCTACCTTCTCTTTCCATTCCACATTCGCCGCCCCCTCCCTCTTTGGCTGCTGTCTGTCAGCTCATTATATGCATTTTCCTCCTCAGCTTTTGCTTTTTTTATCTCCCAGTGCGTGCGTGCGTGTATTTACGTTGTGGATATTTGTTTTAGTCACTTTCTCGACACTGCCTGCCAGTGTACATACATACGTGTGTGCGTGTGTTTTGAAAATAAACTCGCAAAGTTCTAAAAACTTTCAATGTCAA